TGTGGAATATGATATGTCAAGAAATTTGTAATGTTTTGAACAACCCACAATAAAAAATTAAAAAAAAAAAAAAAAAAAAAAAAAAAAAATATACTGACTTTGGTAAACTCAAAAAAAAAAAAAAAAAAAAAAAAAAAAAAAAAAAAAAAAAAAAATAAATAATCATTAACTCAAAAGGAGTTTAAATTAGTATCTATTTGTGGAAACTATTTTGCTATTGAATATACATGATACTCCCCATCACAGAGACTTACTGAAATTAGAGCACATGTGATCATGATAACATGTAAGTATGCAATGGTACTCATCCAAACACTTGAAGCCCAAGGGCATGGATCAATACAATATACATCTTGGAAGAGATAAATAATAATCTGTAGGAAAAATGATCACTGGGGCCAGTCACATTTCACAATATATCCAGTTTAAAAAAGAGCATAAAACACTACGTATAAATTTTACATAGGTGCCTTATGCAAGTGGTATTTCACATATGTACATTTTTAGAAACAAAATATGTAGAACTTATGAGAAAATAAAAGTCACAAAAAGCACATAAAAGACTGAATTATACATCCCATGTAAATAAGAAAACTCATCATTACAAAGGTGATCATTTTCCCCCAAATTTACTGACAATATATCTCACCAAAACTGCTATGTACAAATATGAATGTATCACAGTGAAGTCTACTTTTATGTGTATTCTATAAAGCAATAATTAAAAAAAAAACTATAAATAAATATATGATAGAAGAAACTTGGAGAATAGGGAAATGGGAACTACTGGATACTGAAGGGGAGCAAATTATATTTCATGTTTTATGGTTATGTCAAAATAAACCTGACTATTAAATACAACAATAATGTAATCATAAAAAAACAAAACAAAACAAAACAAAAAAAAAAAAAAATCAAGCTTTACTTTAAATGAAGTAAGAAACCAAAACATAAATTTTTAAAATTCATCTACAAAGTTATATGTAACTTTAGCCAAAAACCTTTTCAATTATAAGAGCAAAAGAGAACTTATCATGGCCTACTATTCATATATATTGTGAAAATATAATATTACAATAATAAAGAATCACAATATAAATAAGATCCCCATATGAATACATATGTATGTAAAAACACTATGCTTTATTGCAATAGCAAATTCTAGATAAATCAAACCATAACAAAAATAATCTCAGCAACTTAGCTAGGACCTTTCTCAAAATAAATTTAAACCTGTTAGGGCTGTTTACTGGTAAAGAGTCCTTGCTTCCCCAATGCTGAAGTATAACACCAGAGAAGTGCACCAAGGCAAGTTTAGAGTGCAAAGTAGAAGCTTTATTAAAGGACAGTAGAAAAGACTTCTCGGGGCTGGGGATGTGGCTCAAGCGGTAGCGCACTTGCCTGGCATGCGTGCGGCCCGGGTTCGGTCATTAGCACCACATACAAACAAAGATGTTGTGTCCGCCGAAAACTGAAAAATAAATATTTAAAAAAAAAAAAAAAGAAAAGACTTCTCCTCAGAAGAAAAAGGGGACCAAAGAGGTAGAATCCATGAAAGAAGAAACTCAGTAAAACCATCTCTCAAAAATAAATAAATAAATAAAAGTGTTGGAGACTGGGTATGTAGCACACTGGTAAAGTTCCCTGGGGTTAATCTCCAGTATTTAAATAAATAAAAAAACATAAATAAATAATAATTGTTGGTAAAAAAAAAAATGCCATACAATCCAGTAATAATAATTTTGGGTATATATGTAAAAAATTTGGGATCCTTTTGCTAAATATATTGCCACACATCTATTTTTTTATTGTACCTTTATTCACAGTATCTAATAAAGGAAACAAATAAAGTATCTTTTAGATAGAAAGTATATCAGAAAATGCCTTCCAGCTGCAAAGCATCCAATTAGTCCATCCCTTCAGAAGCTACACACTTAAAATTCAAACTGGTCCCTAGAAGACAAGACTCAGAGAGTGGTGTTTTCTAAATACTCCAAAAAATTTGGAATCTCTGGGAACCTTGTTTCAGATATTCTAAAACTCAGAACTAGGTCATATGGAAGGTCAGAATGAGAACACAAGACAGTAAATTCTTTAATGGGGAATCTTAACTCAGACACTGACATAACCAAAAGCAGAGTTGCAGATAAAAAATAGATTCTGTTTCACTGATTTCTGGGTTATGGATTCAAATCAAATATATATTAGAAAAAAAAGTTAAGGCTACTGGTTAAAATCTACATAAAACAGGTATTAAAAATGTACCAGGGGTTGGGTGTGTTGGTGCAAGCTTGTAATCCCAGTTGCTGAAGAGGCTGCGGAAGAATTATCAAAATTTCGAAGCCAGCCTTAGCAGAAGCGAGGTGCTAAGAAACACAGTGAGATCCTGTCTCTAAATAAAGTAAAAAAAAAAAAAAATCCTGGGGATTTGTCTTAGTAGTCAAGTGTTTGTGAGTTCAATCTCCAATATCCCCCATAAAAATGTACCAGGGGGCTGGGGATGGGGCTCAGTGGAGCTCACTTGTCTGGCACATGTGAGGCACTGGAATATAAGGTCTATCAACAACTTTATATATATAGTACCAAGATATTGACATGGACTTTGATCTAAATTGCTTGTACTTTAGCCCTTAAGATTGAAGTTGGTTGGGGCTGGGGATGTGGCTCAAGCGGTGGCGGGCTCGCCTGGCATGCGTGCAGCCTGGGTTCCATCCTCAGCACCACATACAAACAAATACGTTGTGTCAGCCCAAAACTGAAAAATAAATATTAAATTAAAAAAAAAAAAAATCTCTCTCCCTCTCTCTCTCACACACACTCTCTCTTTAAAAAAAAAAAGATTGAAGTTGGCCAGGCATGGTGGGGCATGCCTGTAATATCAGCTGTTTACAAGACTGAGACATAAGGATCATGAATTCAAAGCCAGTCTCATCAATGGCGAGGCACTAAGCAACTCAGTGAAACCCTGTCTCTAAGTAAAATACAAAATAGGGGTAGGGATGTGGCTCAGTGGTAGAGTGCCCCTGACTTCAATCCCTGGTCTCCCCCCCCCAAAAAAAATGGGGCTGAGTAAATAGCTCAGCTTGTAGAGTGCTTGCCTTCTAAGTATGAGGCCCTGGGGTCAATCCCCAGTACACACACAGAGAGAGGGAGAGGGAGAGAGAGAGAGAGAGAGAGAGAGAGAGAGAGAGAGAGAGAGAGAGAGAGAGAGAGATTGAAATTGCATGTAATTTAAATTCAAGTTAATCCCACTTTTATTTTTTCCTGCCACACCAGAATAAAAGAGTTTCGTGAAATATTTGGAATGTTTGTGTGGGTTATTTATTTATTTATTTATTTTGTATTTACTTATTTTTATGTGGTGCTGAGGATCGAACCCAGGACCTTGCACATGCTAGGTGAGTGCTCTATCACTGAGCCAGAACCCCAGATGGTCTGACCATAAATAAATAAACAAACAAACAAATTAATAAATACATAAACCCTCAATTGATGACCCATTACAGTTTTTAAAAATCCTTAATTGGGACACATAAACCTCATTTAGGAGAGATTCATTCTTTTTAATATCACCTAATTTTATTCTGCTTTCTTCTCATGTGAAAATCTCAGAATGATAAATTAAAATCTTTTAAAAATCCCCTCCAGTTCTTGAAGAAAAACATTATAAATGATGCATATATTTGAAATAAAACATGGGAAAATGATTAATAATGCTGAAAGTGGAGTTTTGAGATTAACCAAAATTTCTCAGTTTGCAAATTGAATCTGGGTGCTTGTCTCATAAATTTTGAAGAAAAAAAATTCTATTTAAGCAAGAAGAAATAGAATGCCCACCATGTGGTATGAGGAATGATACCAGAAAAAACAACAACAACAACAAAAAAACTCATTTTTGTGTACCATTTTAAAAGTTTACTGATGGTTTTGGGCAGAACAGGAAGCATATGCATTTAGAATAGGCTTTGGAAAAGGCATCCTGACTACCATATGGGTTCACTTTCATTCTTTCTATGACCCACCCTTTTTTCTTCAAATTCAATCAGGAATCACCCCCGGGACAAAGGAATTTGTTGAAGGTGTTCCCACAAGTGGGCTTCAAGGTCTTTTACATTTGAAATAGGCCTTAATGGTAATCATTAACATCTTTTGGTTAACCACCAAATGTGTTTGAGTGAGGCCCATTATCCACATTACATGGTCATTTTACTATCTATTCTATTTTATACTTATTTTCTGTGAACAGAGAACCCTAGTTTTGGATATGTGAACAGAGAGCTAGAAAACTAGGGGTTTATTCTAAGACCTATGGAGAGCTAAACTGAAGTTCTGGATTTCAGATTTTTGTTTTGAATTTGAGATACTGCTTCTGCTACATTTAAAAATCTCAGGACTCATGAAGAGAATGAGTTAAAAGCCAGCATCATCAAACTTGTGAGGCCCTAAGAAATTCAACGGGACCCTGTCTCTAAATAAAAATATTAAAAAGGGATGGAATGTGAATCTGTGGATGAACACCTCTGGGTTGAATTTCTGGTACCAAAAAGAAAACAACATACACACAAAAATAATAACAATAATAATAAACAAACAAACAAACCCTAATGAGTAACAAGCCCTAAAATTAACAGCCTCTCTCATGCATGAATACAATAAATGGATTTATAGTTCTCCCCTGGTAATTATCTCAGTCTTCACTATGCAATCTGGAGACATGCTGGACTCATGGCACATGGAAGCCCACAAAGGGCTTTAGAAGGAAGCTGAAAACACCATACAATTATGGAATAAAATGCCCAGGTTTTCAAATGCTGATCTAAGCCTCACTAGACTCGTCAGAGGGAGGTGAAGGCTAAGCTACCAGAGAGACCCTCTGGCCACAAGACTCTGGAGAGGACCTCGAGGAGTCCCTAGCCATGACTGCCAGTTTCCACCATTGCCACTCCTGTCAGCTTTAAGCCACCTTCCTACACAGTCTCAATATAAAAAGGCACACTTACCATTTCCTGGCTCTCAGGGTTCTCAGCGTTCTCCCTGTGGTTTGTTTTCAGATTCTTCATAGCACAGACACCTGGGCTCCAGATCCAGGACAGAAGCCTACAAAAAGATTTAAAAAATGGCAGGTTCCAGACACCAAAGGAACAGAAGATTATGGAAGCCCTCCCCCTCATCACTGGCTGCATGAGGATTGGACAGTTCTCACCTAAGTGACTGATTGGTCAAGGCTTCAGGCACTGCCTCCAACCTGAGCCAAGTGGGCACAGAATCAAAGTCTGAATGATAGGCTGCTCCACTGTAATTGTTAACCGACTACAGATCAGGGCTGAGAATATAGCTTAGTCAGTAGAGTGCTTGTTTTGCTTATATAAGGCCATGGATTCAATCCCCTGCACTACACACACACACTCTCCCCCCCCCAAAAAAAAATATATATATTAAGTAAAGGACTTTGGGGAAAGGGTTATGGATCAGTGGTAGAGAACTTCCCTAGCATGCATGAGGTACTGGGTTGAACATGAAGCACCGCATTAAAAAGCCACCCAAGAGTGGGATGGGGCTCAAGCGGTAGCACACTCATACAGGCGGCCCAGGTTCCATACTCAGCACCACATACAAACAAAGAAGTTGTGTCCACCAAAAACTAAAAATAAATGTTAAAAAAAAGCCAACCCTCAAACTACTAATGATACTGTGTCCATCTACAACAAAAGAAATTCAAGAAAATAAAAGACTTTGTATTGGACTTTGCACCCTCCCTACAGAACTCATAAACACTTTTTATAAATAATATATACATATATGTCTTCAGACAATGTATAAAATTTTCCTGTGATGTGTTTTCAAGTAACTTATATTACAGGTATGCTTCACAACCTGAAATCCTCCCCACCTCTCTTCTTCTTCTTCTTCTTCTTCTTCTTCTTCTTCTTCTTCTTCTTCTTATTATTATTATTATTATTATTATTATTATTATTATTATTATTTGAGGCCTGTTAATTGCATTAAATGCCTCTGTATGGGGTTATTTTAAGGCAAAGTTTTCTTCCAATAATAGGACCTAGCCCAGAGAGAAATGTATTGACACTTATAACTGTTTATAAGGTTAAAGCAATTTGTGAATAAATATGTATTTTTTATGAAAATGATATCACAATTACTTTAATATTTTTTTAATTTTTTTATTCTTTGTCTCATAAAAAGTTTGAACTTTAAACTCTTTAGCAATGTTTTTATACCCCTTCCCCCAAAAAAGTGACTCACAAGTATAATTCAAATTATTGAGACTCATAGATTTTTCATCCTTTATTTTAACTAGTGAAGTCTAAAGATTTTCTTTTTATTTTCACCTTTAAATGAAGCCCACTTTTATAGCTTTCTTGTTTTGTAACTGACTTTTAATATTCTGCAATTTTTACCCCCATTTTGATCACTTTGGACTACTGATGTTTTCATGGAGGGGATCTCAAAATGGTCATGCACAAGGTAGGAAATGGATATAGTAAGATATAAGACTGGTGATTGCTGAGTATGTAGATTTTGCTATACAAAATAAGTATTGGTGGATGATATAGGGGTAGGGAGAAAAAGAGCAATGAAAAAAAGAAGAAAAACTTGAACAATAGAGGGGTTCACATGCTACAAGTCTACAATGATAGCGTGAATATAGAGGGTAGTGTTCTTAGAAGCAGCAATAAAATTTGAGGGAAAGAAAAAGGTAATTTTTTGCACAGTTCCAAAGTGAGAGAGCCAAGTGAATGGGTTCTGTGTTCAACTCTTCCCACCTAGGAGTGGAATTTATATTTCATAGGGTATGTCTCAGTAAGTAGTAAAACACCATTTCTATGTACCTTTACACTTTTTCATGGCTACAAGCTGACTTTGACAATTCCAGTCACATTACACCTTTGCACTTGTTAGCTATTCATTAATTAATTCATTCATTACGTTATTTGTTTGTTTTTTATGAATTCACTTTCTTTTAGTTGTCATTGTTTCTACATTACTGGTGATTACATAATTGCATAAATATTCTGAATGTTGACTTTTGGTTAAATATTGTTTTATGTGTTTATTCATACATTTACTTTTCATTAAAATGTTTTCCTTTGCCAACCCTGATTTATATTAGACCTCAATCTTCATTTATGAAGACTAGATAAGATCACATTATTCCAAATAACTCAAGGATTTATCATCTTTGCAGAACCCTAATCACCTGCTAAAGTTGACCCAGTCTGGGTCAACTAAAAGCTGTGTCAAAACTCCTCTTTTTTCTTATATACACTTTAATAAAGGATTTCTCTCTCACTTTTATATTTTGGAGAGTAGATTAACTTCCCAAGCAGTAGTTAATAACCTAGATGAGTTTTCCAACTAGCTCAGTATTACTTTTAAATTATTTACATCCTTGACACTAACAGTGTCACTGATTACTTTTTTTAATTTTTGCAAGATCTTTCTCTCTCTCTCTCTCTCTCATATGACAAATTGAAATCAGATATGCTTTTTTACTAAGAAACACTCTCAGCCTTTAATAAGTTATTCTATAAAGAAAAAGGGTTTTGCTGATTTTCTTAGAGCCTCACTAAGTTGCTGAGGCTGGCTGACATTAATCTAATGTTATAGAAGTTAGCAATATATATATATATATATATATATATATATATATATATATATATATATATATATATATGAGAGAGAGAGAGAGAGAGAGAGAGAGAGAGAGAGAGAGAGAGAGAGGGAGGGAGGGTAGTGCTCATTTGACTCTTTCTCTTGGGGACTGGGCCAGAGTTACCTTCTTCTTTCACTTCTACCTTATTTCTGCCTCCAAAGAAACTGCCCTTTACCCTCACACTACCATTGATCCACCATTAGACTTTTTAAATCTGAACTCTTGAGCTGGTCATTTTTCCCTCTTTCCTTCAAAGCATTTTTTGTCTACCCATACCTATTCGACCAATACTTTTTCATGAATACTCACTACTGCATACTCAGTATCCACCAATGTCACATCCTGATCCATCCCTGTTCTGCTTTTTCCATGGATCACTTTGAGATCCCCTCCACCCAGATATCAATAGTCCAGAGTAAGGTCAGGTAAGGGTGTTATATATGCAGGTTTTTAAAAGTCATTTACATAAAAATAATCCTATTAAAATTGGGTTGTATTTTGTCTTAGGTTAAAAAACTAAAATCTACAGACTGCACTGTCATACTGAATTGTTTAAAATTTATTAATCTCAATAATTTGGAAAAAGAAATTCTATAAAAAAGGAGAATAAAGAAAAGAACATAATACATAAAATTGACAAATTTGAAGACACACCAAGTGCACCTATCAAAGGGTGTCATATATCAGTGCTTTCAAAAGACAAATTAATTTGAAATAAATGTAGTTAATGTGAGATGTAGTAATCATATAATAATTATATATAATGGTAGTGTACATGTATATGTACAAAATGCATCTCATATAATTATGAGTATACATTGCAAAAAATGAACTCTACAGTATTTTTTTTTTTAATTTTGCTGACAACACTATAAATACCTACATCTAGGTTTATGTATTACCAAATGTTCAGGATACATTTTGTACTTCATAAAGTTTACAACTCACCAACAGACATTTTTTTTTTCAATTTTTAAAAGGAGTAGTATTTATTTTCAGTTAGAACATAATGCCATCATTTATCTTTAATTTTTAAATATTTTTTTAATTATATGACAACAGAATGCATTACAATTCTTATTACATATATGGAGCACAATTTTTCATTTCTCTGGTTTTATACAAATTATATTTACATGAATTTACTTCTTTATACATATACTTTATATAACAATATACATCATATTCCACCATCATTTCTAACCCCATGATCCCTCACCTCACCTCCAAAGCCCCAAAAGGTCATTTTGATACTCAATGATGTATGCTATAAAGTTATAGAAAAGAGTATATACCTTATAATAATATGAACAGATAAAGTTTTGTAACTAATACATAGCATAATAATAATAATAATAATAATAATAATAATAATAAACTTGCCATTTAGACATTAATAAATTATACATCTAGCACTATTGACATCTTTTCCCAAAAAAGGGGGAGTTATTTGTGGGGGGAAATGGTATTCTATGCTTTCTTAATATCAAGAATAAATTATTTTCAGAAGTAATATATATTTAAATATAAAAATAAAATAGAACCAGGTTCCATGGCACACACCTCTAATCCCAATGGATTGTGAGGCTAAGGCAAGATAATACTGAGTTTAAAGCAGCCTCAGAAACATAGCAAGGCCCTAAGCAACTATGTGTGACCCAGTCTCTGTTTGCCCCTGATTTAAATTTCCAGTAAGAAAAAACAACAACAAAAAGAATACAATGTATTGATGAGGACCCAGAACAAATTATCATGAACTAAAGATGGAGTAGAAATTGCTGTTATTTCATCATGAAAACTGTATATATATATATATATATATGAAATACTCCTCACCAAGCAGCTTACACCTGTAGAAATTATAGTATGTGTGTATAATGACAGTGTACAAGTATGTAATAGCATAAGTCTTGTCAATACATAGAAATATGTGGCCTAGGAGGAAAGATGAGGTGATTCAGAAAAATAAAAATAATAAAGTTAGAGAAAAAATGGTTTCTGGAGCCCAGAAAGATTTTTGGTTTAATTAGAGTACAAAATACCACATAAGTATTATACTGAAGTTACATCTGTTAAATACATCACATGCATAATGGATTTCAAGGAAAATATGTGGAACGTATCACAAACTAAATAAAAATTTACAAAAGCACATAAAATACCATGTTTGTAAATAAAACTAATCATTACAAAAACAACTATTTTAACTCAATTTAATATATAATATTTTCCTATCAAAATTTTAGCATGTTTTTCTTAAAATACAAGAAGAGAGCTGGACCTGTTGGTGCACAATTGTAATCCCAGTACCTTGGGAGGTGTATTGTGAGCTCAAAGCCAGCATCAGCAAAAGTGAGGCCCTAAGCAACTCAGTAAGATACCGTGTCTAAATGTCATACAAAATATGTTTGGGGATGTGGCTCAA